AAAGCACGCAGGAAGCGGTAGAACACGATAGCAGAAGGGGAAACACACCACTATGTCTCGCGTTTTCCTCCACACTTCTTTCGTATTCTACCGCTTCCTGCGTGCTTTACAACAGAACGGAGCACAGTCGAGGTTTCTTTATTTGTTAAATAACGTAATAACAAAAAAACATGACAACACAAACAGTGGTTTTTGTAATAAACACATACACCAATAGCAGTCTTTAATATTGCATGATGGATCTCATGCTGAGGTTTGTTTGGGTTCTGTGCTGGCTTCATATCAGTACAGGTCAGTGGATTCAAGCAATCCTTGTCAATCACATTAGGAGTAGGAAAGTACATTCAATGTCTGGGTTTTTTGTTTGACTTGTGAAGTGATAAGTCTGAGATTGCAAGATGCCATTTGAAACACTGGTGTACATGTAATGTGAATTTGCTGTCCATGAGGGAACGTAATGGCTTGGATTGTGGAGCAGTAATTCATTACTCACATAGCAAAATAGTGCCTACATTTTCTATGTTCCTTAACCTGAAAGAAGCCTTTATTCTTTCAAACAGCTAAATATTTGGGTCAACCTAATTTATTTTTGTTCTTATTGAGGGTCTACTGTCTTAAGTGAGACTCCACAGAAATAGTTTTCTCCATAACTACTCTTTAAATGGTAAGGATCGGTGAAAACATTGATAAAGTCGGACCTAAACACTGTAAAGTAAACTTAATTATGGGAAACTACATGTACACAGGCACACAAGATAAATCAAATCAGTGGAATCCCTATTTCTTGAACCCTTAGTCTTTTAAACCTCCCGATAACTCGAACCAAAAGTCGATTCCCCTCCTCAGTCAAAAGCTGTAATTTTACCCCTGATTCCTCAAACTCTCTGATTTTTCGAACCAATTATCTTTTCCCTTAGAGGTTCAAAAAATCCAGATTCCACTGTATATCCTATATTAATGATGTTCTTTAGTAATGCCATCATTAATTGACCACTGAGTTCGCGGTTTGCTCAAGATGGCTGGATGTTGGCCTCAACCTTTTTTGTGTGTATATGGACCTCAACTGTATTTCAGTAGGGAAACAAGCAAAAAAGGCTAACTTGAGACCCAGTCATCCTACTTGACCTTATGCTTAGTGCTATAAATGTATCATTATAATACCTGCCAAGAGACATTAACGGCAGTGGAATTGACAACAGTCACATCAAAGATTGGAGCAGTACTTGGAACTGTAAAAAGGAATTACACCACACCTTTAGTAATCAGTGACAAATGTTTGAATTGATTCACCTCATCATTAAAATATCTAGGAATCATGCAGTGCCTGCGCATTTTAAGGGTGAAAGGTAGAACTTGTATAAAATTATTACAAACGTTAAATGAATGTTAAAACAACTGCATTGTTTATATCGAGCACCTTCTTCATCTGTGGTAGTATTCACTACAGGGCTCCCATCACTAATGCCAACTATGTTTCTTGCAAACACTTGAAAGTAGTATGGTGTCCAAGGTGAGAGGTTTCCAAGAGAAGCGCTTGTGCTGGACACCACACAGGAACTATCTGACAGGGATCCTTGACAGACAACATCTACAAACTCTTCATTATCTAGACTTCTCTTCATTGTGTAGTTCTGAATTGCACTGTTCCCATCAAAACCAGCAATCCAGGAAATATTCACTACTCGTGAGCTCTTTGAGACAACTACCACATTCACTGGTGGGTTTGGTTCCACTGTAAAGTTAATTAATATAAACACGTTTCAACAACAGTCCATGTACAATCAGAGTTCAACAGGTAACTATAGATTGACAAAGACTACATGTACATGTAAGCGGACCAAGTGAAAAAAAAAAATAGTGTTTGATTAATTGAAGCACTATGAATCAGAATAAGCCTAATCAAGGAGGCTATATTCCTCCTGGCTATTAAACTGAACAAACAAATGAAACCAGTTTTAAGGGAGCAGGGATGGCACAGTGGCAAGAGCATTTACCTCCCAAAAATGTGGCCCAAGTTAAATTCCGGCTCAGTGCCATAACTGAGTTGAGTTTGTTGTTGGTTCTCGCCTTGCTCCGATGGATTTTCTCCGGGTTCTCCGGTTTTCCTCTCTCCACAAAAACCAACACTCCAAATTCCAATTAGACCAGGATAGAGGACTGGCATGAAAACCAGCTAAGGCTGATGTGACTTCCTATCTAAATATTTGTTTATTTATTTTTTTTTATTTGTTTTGTTTTTCAGTTTTACCAATGATATAAATTGAGAAATGCTAAATACAGTTTCATTAGATCCTGGCTGATTCTTCTCTTTCCTGTGAATTTCCTTCTGAGGGGTCAGATCTCTAAGGCCACTGAAAATTAATGGTGTAAAACAAAAAAAAAGGAAATGCAGATGGCCAATTTAAAAAAAGTTAAGAGGGTTCTCGAATTTAGGAAGAACCATAAAAGCAAGGAGTGTTAAAAGCAACACAGAAACTGGAAATACCATCTAATTTTAAGCACAAGTTGCTTCTGCATAGTTATACTGACAGAAGTTATAAACCCACATCAATATAATACAGTTATAGCAAAACACACCTTGAATAACAACTGATGTTGTATCTGATGAGTTACCAACATCATTAATAACAAGACAGGCGTAATTCCCAGCATCCTGTGGTGTAGTTGCATTTATTAGCAGCTGTACTTGGCTTTCATTAAAAAATGGAATATCCACTTGTGAGTCTTTAATCTCCACACTAGCATTTCTTGCTATCGCAGTTCCATTTTTTTCCCACTGCACTTCAGACAATGGTGGCAAAGCATTATACTGACATGTCAGCAGTAACTGTCTTCCTTTAATCACAAACTGTACTTGAACACCAATAATCGTCACTTCTGGTACAACTGCAATTGTGAAATTGTTTCAGTTATTTGCAAAATTGTTTCAGATGATCAAAAATAATAGAAAGTGAAATGAAGTAAAAATATTAAATGAAGGGAATGAGGTGATCTACTGCATCTTAAAGCCTATCTGGCCGGGCCAACTGGGCAACTGGGACAGATAAATACATTTGCTGAAATTATTAATAACTCATCAGTCATGAGCCAAGATTAAAACATGTACAAGGAACAATATGTACTTTGAAATGTTTTCTTTAAACAGTTTTCTTTGTTTGTACGAGAGATTTTAAGACCCATTCCAATGGTGATACTGAAAAGAGCACATCACCTTCAACCCTTGTAAAATTGCGATCACAGCCTATTTTCCTTCAAGTTGGGGTGACATTTCCACAAAATTGTTGAACTGAAGGTTCCACCATTCCAACAAAGTAAAATGTCAGTCCACATAATCTGTTTGTACATCGTAATAAAAAAAAAAATAAAAACACCAGGAAGTGATTTGCACTATATATGTATTCATGCACTAATTGGTTGGCTCTAGAAATCTCACTCATTCCTGACCATTTCTGACACATCAAACCCTCATATAAGATTACAGAACATAAACATTCCTCAAACTACTCTTTACTCATTCTCAGTGGCAGCAACACTGAGAATTATCAATGATGTTGTTGGTTTTGTTCTTGTGTTGTAGTTAGCCTTAAAATATGCATAGAAGTGACATTAACCAGGCTGTGATCTTGGTTGATAGAAACATGATGTGTATAGTACCAGTAGATGAAGTAATCAATTGAGTATCAGGTGAAAACAACACAATTAAGCACTCACAATGTACTGTCAGTGTTCCTGGATAAGAAGTAACATTATTTATACTGTTATTTGCCACACATCTGTACAGCCCTTGATCTGCTTGGTCAACACTGACTATTGTCAAAGTTGAATTATTTCCTGTAAAAGAGACATTTATCCTCTGATCTGCTACATTTACTGCTTCTCCATCTTTTGTCCATCTCACGTCTGGTAAAGGATTTCCATAAACTTGGCATTGCAAATTAACATTCTGACCCTCTATCACCGTTGAATTCTCTGGATTGCTGATGAATTCAGGTTGAACTAGAAAAAAGCATCCAAATGACTTAGATGTGTAAATGTTCTTTGTTATAATTATATGCTACATGATCAAAATATACATGTGTGAAGCTCTTCTATATCACACTATAAAATAAGTGATGTCATATACAACGTAATAACACTTGTTCTAAAATAATTTCTCATTGGCAAAAGCAATTCTAATATTGCTAATCACATGGAAATTTCGGATACCATTTTGAGCTAATTACAAAGAAACATAATATTTTTCACACTTTTTTAACAGAGGGTGTCTGGCAACAGTTTCCAGCACTTTTCCAACAGCTACAGTATACCGACCTACCACTCTTTATCAAGTAATGCAACAATATTGGTATCACACAAATGCCCAGCCATTGGTGAACCAATAGTGGTGATCTTTACAGCATAATAACATAACCATAGCCACAGTACAACATGTTACATCTGTTTAATTAAAATGGGGTTCATTATACCGAGGTTCTGTTCAATAAATTTTACTCTGA